AGGCCTGCAGAGGAGGACAGTTGGGGGCAACCAGGCTGGCAGGGATGGGCAGTAAGAGGTGGCCAGTGTGGCAGGGGAGGCCAGTTAGGGACAAGTGGGCTGGCAGGGGAGCAGTTAGGCATTGATCAGGCTGGCATGGAACGTTTAGGGGGTGATCAGGCTGAAGTGGTTAGAGGCAATCAGGCAGGCAGGCAGGCAGGCAGTTGAGAGGCAGAAATCCTGGATTGTAAGAGGAATGTCCCAGATTGGAGAGAGTGCAGGCTGGGCTGAGGGACACATCCCTCCCTCCCAATGCATGAATTTCATGCACCGGGCCTCTAGTATATGATAAATCCTCAGCTGATATCATACTCAATGGCGAAAAACTGAAAGCTTTTCCCCCCAAGATCAGGAACAAGACAAGAATGTCCACTCTCTCCACTCTTATTCAGCAGAGTGCTAGAAGTCTTAGCCAGAGCAATAAGGCAAGAGAAAGAAATAAAAGGCATCCAAACGGGAAAAGAAGAAATCAAACTGTCACTTTTTGCAGTCAACATGATTCTGTACTTAGAAAACCCTAAAGACTCTATAAAAAACAAACAAACAACCTATTAGAAACAATAAACAAATAGTGTCAAGTTGCAGGATACAAAATCAATTTGCAAACATCCATCACCTTCCTGTATACGAACAACAAAACTTCAGAAAAAAAAAAATGGAAAAGAACACACAATTCCTTTTGTAATAGCAAGCAAAAGAATAAAATACCTAAGAATAAACTTTACAAAGAATACAAAAGACCTATATACTGAAAATCACAATGCATTATTAAAAGAGATTGAAAAAGACACGACGAAATGGAAAAATATAACGTGTTCATGGATTGGAAGAATCAATCTAGTTAAAATGGCCATATTGCCCAAAGCCATGTACAGATTTAATGCAATCCCCCATATCATTTTTTTTAAAGAAATAGAATTTATCAGATTTGTATGGGACCACAAAAGACCCCAAATAGCCAAAGCAATTCTGAGAGAAAAGAATGAAGCTGGAGGCATCATGCTACCTGACTTCAAATTATACTACAGAGCTACGATAATCAAAACAGCATGGTATTGGAGGAGAAACAGACACACAGGTAAATGGAACAGAACAGATCCAGCTATAAAACCACAGGTATACGAACAGGTAATTTTCTACAAAGGAGCCAGAAATGCACATTGGAGTCAAGACAGTCTCTTCAATAAACGGTGCTGGAAACACTGAAAGCCACATGCAAAGGAATGAAGCTGGATTGCAGTTTGTCCCCGTGGACAAAAATTAACTCAAAATGGGGCCAAGGCCTACATGTAAGACTGGAAACAGTAAGTTACATTGAAGAAAATACAGGGGCCAAACACATGGACCTGGGTCGTAGAGAACATTTTATGAACTTGACCCCAAAGGCAAGGGAAGTGAAGGCAAAAAATAGCCCTGGCTGGTTTGGCTCAGTAGTTAGAGCCTTGGCCTGCAGACTGAAGAGTCCCGGGTTCGAATCCATCAAGGGATTGATTATTGTAACTCTGTGCAGGTTGCGGGCTCATCCCCAGTACCGAGTATGCAAGAGGCAGCTGATCAATGACTTTCTCTCATCACTGATGTTTCTATCTCTCTCTCCTTCTCCCTTCCTCTCTGAAATCAATAAAAATATTTATATATTTTTTAAAAAGGCAAAAACAAACGAGTGGGACCATATCAAACTAAGAAATTTCTACACAGCAAAGAAAAGGACAACAGAACAGACAGGCAGCCAACCAGACGAGAGATGGCATTTGCAAACAGTAGCTCCGATAAAGGTTTCCTTTCCAAAATGTTTTAAAAACTAATAAGACTCAACACCAAACAAACGATCCAGCCGAAACCGGTTTGGCTCAATGGATAGAGCGTCGGCTTGGGGACTGAAAGGTCCCGGGTTCGATTCCGGTCAAGGGCATGTACCTTGGTTGCGGGCATATCCCTGGTAGGTGCAGGAGGCAGCTGATCGATGACTCTCATAGATGTTTCTAGCTCTCTATCTCTCTCCCTTCCTCTCTGTACAAAATCAATAAAATGTATTAAAAATAAAAAACAAACAAACGATCCAATCAACAAGTGGACAGAGGACCCGAGAATACACATCTCCCAAGAAGACAAACAGCCAATTGATGTATGGAAAGCTGTTCCACCTCACCCGGCAATCAGGGAAATGCAAATCAAAACTAACACCTCACACCTGCCAGCGTGGCCATTATCAACCGGACAAGCAGCAGCGAGTGCCCGAGAGGCTGTGGGAAGAGGGACCGCTCAGCCCCTGCTGGCAGGATTGCAGGCTGGTACAACCGCCACGGGAAGCAGGCTGGCCATTCCTCACAAGATCAAACACAAAGCTGCCATCCGACTCACAACCCCACTCCTGGGTATGTTCCCGGAAAACTCCAAATCATTTATATGCAAAGATATGTGCCCTCCGCCCTCACCGGTGTGGCTCAGTGCATAGAGCATCGGCCTGCAGACTATAGGGTCCCAGGTTCGATTCGGGTCAAGGGCATGTACCTTGGTTGCGGGCACATCCCCTGTGGGGGGTGTGCAGGAGGCAGCTGATCGATGTTTCTCTCTCATCGATGTTTCTAACTCTCTATCCCTCTCTCTTCCTCTCTGTAAAAAAATCAATAAAATATATATATATTTTAAAAAACAACGAAGACCTGGTCAGGGCGGCAGGGGACATAAGAGTGACAGGAGACAGGAAAGGGAGGCAGGGAGACAGGGTTGTATGTGGAGGGTGGCGAGGCCCCAGCTTGTCCTGAGCTTCCCATGAGCCCCGGGCCTCGGACCCTGGCCCTGGCCGTGGTGCCCACAGCCTCTGAGGCTGGGAGCTCGGGGCCTCCGCAGCCCGGCCAGCATCTCTCCACCAGCAGGTGATGCTCAGGTTTTCCCACTTCCCGGCGCTGGGTCCGTCTCCCCCCTAAACCTGGAAGCTTCTGAAGGGCAGGCACAGTGCCCCCTGGCCTGCACAGTGTGTGTGTGTGGGGGGGAGCGGCCTGCAAGCCCAGCGTGGGGACCCCCAAAGCTCGAGGCCCGACCCAAGATGTGGATCTGCCGTCCGCGTTCTTTCCCACAAAAACGAACATAAAACAGACACACCGGGACCCAGTAAACAGGCACCCCAGAGGCAAGCAAACAGGCCTGTTTGGGTTCGGACACTCGGCAAAGGCAACTTCCCCTTCGGGATCAGCGGGGTCAGCCAGGCGGCTCTGGACCCGATTCCTCCGACACAAACAAAACCAGGCGGCTCTGGACCCGATTCCTCCGACACAAACAAAACCAGGCGGCTGTGCAGCCAGGCGAGGGGTGACGCCCTAGGGGTGACCCTGGGACATCATCGCTCAGGATGGGGGTGCCAGGCAGGCCCCACGCCCGGGGGTGGCCACACGGATTGCCTGGTTAGGACTTCGGCCTGGGCCCTCCCCACAGCCCCACCACCGAGGGGCTGGCTCCCTCGGACCCTGGGCAGCTGCTGGCCCCTGGGCTCGGGGCACAGGGCAAAGCGGGCCCAGCCAGGGGGTCCAGGAGACCTTGGGCCAGCTCGGGGCTACGACTGGCTAGGGCAGTGGTCAGCAAACTGCGTCTCACGAGAGCCACATGTGGCTTTGGCCCCTTGAGACTTCAGCAGAGGCCAGCTTAGGAGTATGCGCGGATTAAGTTAATCACAATGTGCCTACCTATGTAGTTTAAGTTTAAAAAATGTGGCTCTCCAAAGAAATGTCCATCGTTGTCCTGTTGGCATGTGGCCCTGTGAACTGATGAGTTTGCCGACCACTGGGCTAGGGCCTGGCGGCTCCCCAGGCAGCTGACCGGTGACCCCATATCATCTCGGGACCTCGCTCAGGTCCCGAGGGAGAGGACGGCGTCCCAGAGGCACTCGGCTCCACCAGGACACGGCCCTGGCCCGGCCATGGCTCAGCAGAGGACACGGGGCTTGGGCCGCTGTGGGCGCCAGGGCGTCCCAAGCTTAGGGGACTGTCCCTCCCCGCCACAGGGAGAGCCCCCGTCCATGCTCCCCGTGGCCTCGGCAGCCTCCTGGGACCTGCTCACCCCAAGACCAGCAGCCGAGCCCACCCTCCCCCCTAGCAAGTGTCCCCCAGCCGCGGGCCCCGGGGCCCCAGCTGTCACCTTCATCCGCTTTTTATTTTGTTAAGTACAAAGGCCAACCCTGCCTGCCGGGAGCCTCTGGCCCTGCTCTCCCTGGGCCAGGGGTGGGGGTTACATACAAGCCCCGGCACTTTGGGGTCCCCCTGGCCCAGCTGGGGCGCTGGCTCCCTCTCGGGGGGAAGAGAGCGGGCCCACCTGCCAGCCCCAGGTGCGGAGGGGAAGGTCTGGAAGAGGGTGCCCAGGTGGGAAAGCCCGGATTCCCACAGCTGAGCTTCCCGTGTCTGCCGCCCGCCGGGCAGGAGGTCTCACATTCTTTCCTCTTCCCCCTTCCCGCCCAGGGACTCCCCCAAACTGCCAAGGGGCCCCCCAACACCGCCCAGGGGCCCCCAACATCCCCACGGGGGCCCCAACACCGCCCAGGGGCCCCCAACACCGCCCAGGGGCCCCCAACACCGCCTAGGGGCCCTCAACACCGCCCAGGGGCCCCCAACACCGCCCAGGGACCCCAACACCGCCCAGGGGCCCCCAACACCGCCCAGGGGCCCCCAACACCCCCACGGAACCCCCAACACTGCCCAGGGGCCCCCAACACCGCCCAAGGACCCCAACACCGCCTAGGGGCCCCCAACTCCGCCACGAGACCCCCGGGACGGGGCAGAGCGCGGTCAGACATGGGACGCCCCGTGCGGGGGGGGGTGGGGGCTAGAAAGAGCCCAAATGGCCCGAGAAGGGAAGGGACGCCGGACCCGGGCAGCCCGGCCCCCGCGACTCCAGGATCCGCCGCCCGCCCGCCCGCCCGCCCGTCCGCCCGCCCGTCCGTCCACCCGTCCCCCCCGCCGCGGGGCGCTCACCTCTGGGGTGGGGGTCTCCCCGCCGCGGCCCGCGCCTCTGCCTCGGCTCCCGCGTCCCCGCGGCGCCCGGGGCAGTGGGTCCCGCGGGAAAAATAGCCGCTGTGGCCCCGCCCTCCATGCCCCGCCCACTCCCGGGCCCCGCCCACCTCAGGCCCCGCCCCCCGTCCAGGTGGCCGTCCCCGCCCGGGGTACCTGGGGGGACCTCCCGCTGCAACGCGGGGCGCCTGGGTCGCGGCCGGAGCCCGAGTGTCCCTGTGCCAAGAGCACAGAGGCCGGCGGTTCGGGGGCAGGCGGGTGCGGGGAGCCCGGCCGCGAGGGGGGCGGGGCTGCAGCCTCTGTAGCTGCCCAAGTGTCCACGGAGGTGTCCAGCCAGATCGCCTCCTCCTTTCCTCCTCCCCCTTCACTCCCTTCTTCCCCCAGAGGGTGCCCGGGCCCAGCACCCGGAGCTCCTGTCCCAGGCGCAGCCCGAAGCTGCAAAGGAGGGACTTGACCCCGTGCCCGGGGCGGGGCGGCTTCAGCTGCACCCAAGGAGCAGCATTTGAAGTTCCTGGTGCAGCTTCCGGCCAGAGCCCGGGATGTTTGAGGAAGAAACCCGGAGTTCGGCGGGAGAACCCAGGCGGAGATAGGCGGGTGCCTTCTGCCCCGCCTTCTCCCTTCTTCTCCTTTCTCCCGCCTCTCCCGCCTCTGGGGTTTGCAGGGGTTTGCAGGGGTTGGGGTGTGCAGGGGTTTGCTGGGGTTGGGGTTTGCAGGGGGGTTGCAGGGGGTTGGGGTGTGCAGGGGGTGTGCAGGGGGTTGGGGTGTGCAGGGGGTGTGCAGGTGGTTAGGGTTTGCAGGGGGTTGGGGTTTGCAGGGGGTGTGCAGGGGGTTGGGGTGTGCAGGGGGTTGGGGTGTGCAGGGGGTGTGCAGGGGGTTGGGGTTTGCAGGGGGTTGGGGTGTGCAGGGGGTTGGGGTGTGCAGGGGGTTGGGGTTTGCAGGGGTTGGGGTGTGCAGGGGGTTGGGGTGTGCAGGGGGTTGGGGTTTGCAGGGGGTTGGGGTGTGCAGGGGGTGTGCAGGGGGTTGGGGTGTGCAGGGGGTTGGGGTGTGCAGGGGGTTGGGGTTTGCAGGGGGTGTGCAGGGGGTTGGGGTGTGCAGGGGGTTGGGGTGTGCAGGGGGTTGGGGTTTGCAGGGGGTGTGCAGGGGGTTGGGGTGTGCAGGGGGTGTGCAGGGGGTTGGGGTGTGCAGGAAGGGGGACCTGTCCCAGGACAGCACACTGGCCCCCAGGACAGCAGCAGCAAAGGGTTAGGGAGGCGCCTGTGAGGACACCCTGCAGAGGCTCCTTGGCTGAAACCCATTCAAAGACAAGCACTGCCTTAATAAGACTGGGGGGGGGGGGGGGGGGGGGGGTGGGGGCCTGGAGTGGGGGTGCAAACTGGGAATAGCCCTCCTCTCCCCAGGAACCTGCCTCTGTGCGGTGTCATCACAGAACAGGCTGCCCCGGCACTCCCCAGGCAGCAATGTTGGAGGGAGGACCTGGCAAGGCGGGAAAGAGGGTTAGGCAAAGCCTGGCACTTCATCACAGCACAGGGACCCCATCTTAGCGTCTTAGGGGCTCCCCACCCATTCCCACCCCCCTAACCCCGGGCTCGGCTGGCCGCTTGCAGTGTAACAACTGCCTCCAGTATAAGGTGACCAGATCATCCAGGTGTTGGCGGGACAGTCCTGATTTCCAACAACTTTCCCCGCGTCCTGCAGCATTAAAAAAAAAAAAAAAAAAAAAAAAAGTCCCAACTTTTAGGAAACATTGGAAACATTGGAAAGATTCCTTCCAAAAATCGGGACTTTTTTTTTAAAACGTCATGGGACACGGGAAAAATTTGTTAGAAATCAGGACTGTCCCGCCAACACCTGGACGATGTAGTCACCTTACTCAAGTCCGTTTCCAAGGACTGCATGCCAAGGATGACCCCGCCTTCTGCTCGATGCCAGACCCTGGGGGGGTGGGGGGGTGGAGATGGAGGGGTGCTACACTAGCTGTATAGGGTGGAGGGGACCCCCCCAAGGGCACCCAGGGGGTGCTGCTGAGAGTTGGAAGCCTCCATGGCCAGAACTTGGCACTAAACTGCACTGGGTTGGGGGCAGACCCGCGGTTCCCCCTTTGCCAGTCCCCCCAGGGCACACGTGGGCCACTTGGTACCTGGCACCTGTTACCCTGCCAGACGCCGCCTCCCAGGTGGGCCCTGTGAGGCCAGTGGGGGCTTCGATATCACTAAGCCAGAGCCCCGGGCATCTGCAGGCCAGGGAGGGACATGCGGGGGGTGTCTGGGCCCCTGGGACCCCAATGCCCTCTCCCAGGGTGGCACCTGCCTCTGGTTACGGGTTCCAGTCACCTGGCTCCAGAGACTCATGTCAGATCTGGAAGGACCCGTAGATCCTGCGGTTGAGCATCAACCTAGGAACCAGAAGGTCAGGGTTCGATTCCCGGTCAGGACACAGGCCCGGGTTGTGGGCTCCATCCCCAATGTGGGGCGTGCAGGAGGCAGCCGGTCCATGATTCTCTCGCATCACTGATATTTCTCTCTCTCTCTCTCCCTCTCCCTTCCTCTCTGAAATCAATCAAAATATATTTTTAAAACAAGGAAAGGCAACAAGCCCAGTGAGGAGGCTATCGCTATTGTCCAAGCAACGATAATCAGAGTGTACATTGGAACAGGGAGTTCAATCATTTGTGCCAATATTTTTTATGCTTTGATGAGCCAAGCACCATGCTGGCGGGGAAGCCGAAGACAATGGTGTGTCACGTTCAGGTGCGTGCGCAGGCTTGGTTACCTCGGCGGAGTGGCCCATCTCTCCAAACCCCGGAGTCTTATCTTTAAACAGAGAGAATCATATGCGCCTTATCAAACGTTCGTCAATATGAAGACAATGAACCGCCCGGAACACACGTAGGAAACGATGCTCTTCATCGGTAATGACCGGGGAAACGCAAACAAGAAGCACCAGGCGGTCTCACCGCACACCTGGCCGACGGCTGTTACCGAAGGAAAGTCAACAGATGGCCAGTGTCGGCGGCGAGGGTGTGGAGCAAAAGGAGCCCTGAGAACGCTTGGGGCCAACGCGAATTGGTTCAGCCGCGACGGGTAACAGCATGGAAGGACCTCAAAACGTGAAAACCAGAGCCACACAGGACCCAGCCTCCCACTTCTGGTATTTACCTGAAGCAAATGGAAACACAGTTGGAAAAGACACACGGAGTGGCCGGAGGATGATGATCTCTGAACGCATAATAATCTGGCCACTCAGTGTGTGAGAGTGTGTGTGTGTGTGTGTGTGAGTGTATGTGAGAGTGTGTGTGTGAGTGTGTATATGTGAGAGTGTATGTGAGAGTGTGTGTGTGTGTGTGTGTGTATGAGTGTATGTGACAGTGTGAGTGTGTGTGTGTGTATGTGAGAGTATGTGTGTTTGAGTGTGTGTGTGAGTGTGTATATGTGAGAGTGTGTGAATGTGTGTGAGAGTGTGTGTGTGTATGTGTATGTGAGAGTGTGTGTGTGTGCGTGTGTGTATGTGAGAGAGTGTGTATGTGAGAGAGTGTGTGTGTGTGTGTGTATGAGTGTATGTGACAGTGTGAGTGTGTGTGTGTGTATGTGAGAGTGTGTGTGTGTTTATCTGAGTGTGTGTGTGAGTGTGTATATGTGAGAGAGTGTGTGTGAATGTGTGTGAGAGTGTGTGTGTATGTGAGAGTGTGAGTGTGTGTGTGAGTGTGTATATGTGAGAGTGTGTATGTGTGAGAGTGTGTGTGTGTGTTTGAGTGTGTGTGTGTGAGTGTGTATATGTGAGAGTGTGTATGTTTGTGTGTGTGAGTGTGTATATGTGAGAGTGTGTGTATGTGTGTGTGTGAGTGTGTGTGTGTATATGTGAGTGTGTGTGTGTGTGTGTGTGTGTGTTTGTCTGAGTGTGTGTGTGAGTGTGTATATGTGAGAGTGTGTATGTGTAGTGTGTGTAGCTTTGACCATGACGCAGTCTGAGCCAGTCTCTGTCTCTGGGTGACTGTGGGGCCAGAACTGATCCCATCCAGTCTTGCTCTCTGCCTCCCAACACGTGGTAAATATCTACGTTTTCCCCTCCTGGGACCGGGGTTAGAGTTTCACCAACTCTTGGCAGAAAACCTTTGAGTGACCTTGGCCTCCACCGTCCCTCCTCGAGGTGCACATTTTCTCCGCAGCCTCGGCAGAGGGTTTCCGTCCTCTCTCCCAGGTTCTCGCCCAGAGAAAGGCTTGCTGATTCGGTTCCGTTTTCCTCCCTGCAGGAGCCGGTGCTGACGGGATTATGGAAAGCCCTCCTGGCCACTCCTTGAAGTCTCCCTGAACCGCACGGGCCCCGCCGGCAGCATCCGTGGATACAATGTTAAACGCGAACTCGTCACAGACGGAGAGCCCTAACCTCCCAGATAAATAGCTCTGCCAGGAGACATGCAAATCACGGCTCAACGCCGGTCTCCGGTTTTAGGGCGCGTACTAATGCGGCTTTCTCCGTTATTTGGTGCAGATACTCCCCCTGCGTGGATGTGTCCCCTGTCAGCTACAGGCACCATGGGGTCAGGTGCTGAGCCGTGAAGCACCAGGTCCCGTGGAGGGACCGCACCGAAGAGCGTCCCTCGGAGCAGGACCGAGTCGGTCCCAGGCTCAGCCATCGCTCTGTTTTTGACGAGAAGAGAACCTTGGGGGGGAAGGAACCTGAGGGAATTGACCTGCTGCTGCTCCTGGGACGCTTTGCCAGCTCCTGTGCTTGAGGTGGAGCTCAGGTCACCGGTTCGAGATTTGCCCGCGTCCTTCTCTCTGGACTCGCCCCAGCCTACTCGGTCCTGCTCCGAAGGATGCTCTCCGGTGCGGTCCCTCCACGGCTCAGCCTCTGACCCTGTGGTGAAATGACCTCAAGGTTCCTATTGTTTTTCTTTTTCTTTTTCTTTTTTTAATATATTTTATTGATTTTTCACAGTGAGGAAGGGAGAGGGATAGAGAGCTAGAAACGTCGATGAGAGAGCAACATCGACCAGCTGCCTCCTGCACACCCCCCACCGGGGATGTGCCCGCAACCAAGGTACATGCCCTTGACCAGAATCGAACCCGGGACCCTTCAGTCCGCAGACTGACGCTCTATCCACTGAGCCAAACCGGTTTCGGCTGTTTTAAGTTTTTCTAACCACAAAGAATTTATACGTCTCATGCTGTTGCGGAGAAGAATAGAAGCAGGATTTATGCTTCGCCATTGATGCAGCAGCCAATTTCACAGATGGTCGTTCTATCGCGCACCTGAAAGGTACACATTACCAAGAATTTGCCGAGTGTGGACAGGAACGACTTAAGCAGGATAAAGACTGTTTGCTGAGCGCCAAGATCAGACATTTCACTGAGTGGAAAAAACGCCGAGAACCTTTCTATTAAATCAGAAGCGAGATAACGCGCTGCTGTCTTCGCTGTCCATCACTCTATGGCTTCGGAGCTTTAACGAAGAGAGCAAGCCAGGGGGATGAACTGAGCTGAGTCAGTGCCGGCAAAGAAAGGAAACTATTTTTATAATACTTACAGATTATCGGGAGTGCGCCTCCATAACCGAATCGGGTTTTTGTTTTTTTAAAAAATATATATATATATTTTATTGATTTTTACAGAGAGGAAGGGAGAGAGATGGAGAGTTAGAAACATCCATCAGCTGCCTCCTGCACAACCCCTACTGGGGATGTGCCTGCAACCCCAGTACATGCCCTTGACCGGAATCAAACCCGGGACCCTTCAGTCCGCTGGGCCAAACTGGTTAGGGCCCTAATCGGTTTTCGTGAAGCTGTATTAAAATGAGCAAGAGGACTGAGTAAGCTAGGTGGGTCAACAGAGAAAAGTTTTGATGTATGATAGCAATAAATGTTTGGGAAGGGAAATGGGGGAAAAATATATATCCCATTCATAGTAGCAACACACTGAAAGATTTCTAAGGATGTGTTTAGCAAGAAAAGCATTTTGAGTGGACCAAGCCCTCCCCCAATGAGACACCCCATTATTCCAAAACAGGGGATGAGCACCCCCTATTTCTGTGCTTCGTTATCACCTGCACCCCCCCCCCCATGCCACCACGGCCTGCTGGTCTGTGTCCCTGGGCAGACATCCATGCACTCGCCTTCACACAGACAACAGACGGGTGTCAGGCTTGGGAGGGAGCTGTGGGGGGTTTTAACCACATTCCCCGGGGACCGGAAGCCAGGAATGTCCCAGGCTGGCATCTGCAAGGCCGGTTCTGCAAGTGGCAGCAGGTGCCCACCAGGAGCGGAAGCTGGCACTGCCGGCTGGCACTCAGGGTGCCAGGCGCCCGTCCAGCCTGACTGGCTCCCGGAGCGGCTTGGTGCCCAACCCAGCCAGGTTGGGGGGGAAGGGGGGAGTTGCTTTGTCACCTAAGGGCCCTGAGCCCAGGGCCAGACCAAGCTCCGCAGCTGAGGAGAAGCAGGGGGACTGGGGTTCGGGACCAGTGTGTCTGATCGTCCGAGCCAGCCTGCAGGCAGCATCCTGTGACCGCGGCCCACATGCCCACTGTGGTCCTTGGGCTTTGGGCCAGGACTGAGGGCTGAAGGGGACACAAGCTACACTGCACTGTGCTGGACCCTTCCCGCCCACTTCCTCCCCTATGTCAGCATGCACATGTCACACACACACACACACACACACACACACACACGGGAAGGGAAATGGTAAAAAAAAAAAAACAAGCAAACACCCCATTCATAGCAGCAAGAAACTAAGATTTCTAAGGATGTGTTTCGCAAGGAAAGAATTTTGACTGGACCAAGCCCTCCCCAATGAGACACTGTTATGCATGCACAGGCACACAGACACAGACACACATATGCACACACACATGAATGCATGCGCGCGCACACACAGAGACACACACTCGCTCGCACGTGCCTAACCCAGGCTCGGAGGGTTTTCGGCTCTTGGAACAGCCAGGAGAGCGGCAGGGACACCCTGAAACCACACACACACACACACACACACACACACACACACACCCGCACCTGCGAACGCTCAGGGCTGAGACGCAGAGGGACCGGCATTTTTAACCCCTCCGGAGCCCAGAGGAGAGAAAGCAGCACCATTCGGAGTTTTACTCTCTCGGGCGCTGTTCTGAGCAGTCGGCACCATCGTCCCACGGACTCCATCAGCGCAGGCAGGTGGACGCCCTCAGCATCCTCACTCTGCAGCTGGAGGAGGCGAGGCTCATGGTGCTGAGCTTGCCCGACGCTGCTTCACAAAACCCAGCGGGAAGAACAGCTTCCTCCCTCCTCCACCTCCCCAGGGAGCACTGGCCGCCTGAGTGCGTCCCTCCTTCCCACTCCCTGACCCCAAACCCCTCCTTCCCTCTCCAGTTCCATCTCCCTCCCCTCCCCTCGGCCTGCTCTTCATCCATCCGGAGCCTCAGAGCCCCGAGGGACAAAACAGCCGTCCATTTCCCAATCTCCCCCCCCCCCGCCCCCCCCTGCTCTCCTGCACCCCGACACCTCACGCCCCCTGCTCTCAGCTCTGCCGAGGGTGCCTTCCAGGCCCAGGCCCAGGCCCAGGCCCAGGCCCAGGCCCGGTCCTGTGCTTCGTGGCTCCCAGTTTGAAGTGATCACCAGGCCTCACTTCCCACGAGAGCACACAGCAGGTGCTTAATAATTATCTACTGACCGTAACTGAGAGCATACAGCAGGCGCTCAATAACTGCTTACGGCCTGTACCGGGGTCCGTAAATAAATCTTACAGGATCCGAGCAGAACATACCCGTCTCCTTATCCCCTTGGGCTCCCTCCCCCACCCCTCAGCCCTCAGAAGCCAGGACAGGGGTCCTGGGGAGGGGGTCGGGGGGGACCAGGCAGGGCACAGTGTGTGTGTCCATCCCCTCGGGGCAGCCCCAGACCAGCCTGCCCGTAACCTGGGGGCGAAGGAGGGCGGGCAGAGGCAGGTCAAAGCGCCCGGGGACCCACGTCCCGGTGAATCAGCCGCCCACCGGCTCCCGCACACTGACTGCGAGGAGACCTGCAGCGGCCACGTACCTGGTCTGGTGCCTGCTGTGCCCGGGGACCCACGGCGCTGACATCCTCACCTCCGCCCGGGGGGAGGGCAGAGGGGCTGGGCTGCAGGGTCTGCAGGAGACGGAGGCCCAGAGAGGCCAATCGCTCACCCAGGACCCAGCCGGGAGGGGCGCGGGCAGCTTCGAGGCCAGGTGTAGCCTGTTGCAAAGCCCAAACTCGCCTGAGCTATTCCGGTGTCTCCGAGGGGATGCACAGGGGCCCAGGCCAGACCGGGAGGTGGAGGGGGAGGGGGGAGAGGGAGCATCCGGGCCAGCAGGTGTGGCCCATGAGCCTCTGGGTTTGGCCAGAGGCACAGCCTTTCTGCAGGAACAAGGGGCAGGCTGCTGGGGCCAGGTGCTGGGGCGGCTGCTACCAGGCGGGCATGGCTCTGAAGACCCCACACACCAGCACACCGCAGCCTGCAGCGTAAAAAGCATGGGACTCTGAGCACGTGGCCGGTGTGGCTCCGTGGATAGAGCACCAGCCTGCGGACTGAAGGGTCCTGGGTTCCATTCCGGTCAAGGGCACGTACCTCGGAAGGAGGTGAGGCCAGGCCTGGAGCCAGCCTCCCAAGTCTCCCCACCTCCCTCCCGACACCCCCACCCTGTGTGCGGCAGGTAAGGAGGCACTTACCTGTGGCCTCTGAGCCAAACACGCCCCCTCTCCCTCCCCCGTTTAGGGAGCCTGGGAGGGAGGGCAGCTGTGAGCGTGGAGAAGAGCAGAGACCGGGCCCGAGAGGGATGCCTGGAAGGCTGCCTGGAGGAGGCAGCCCCAAAGTGCGCCCTGGATGCCCCACCCCCATCCAGCCCCCACATCCTCTCTCCCCCCCCCTCCCCGAGGGAGCCACGTGGCATGAAAGCACCAACACATATAAAAACCACCCCTTCTGCCGAAACCGGTGTGGCTCAGTGGTAGGGGTGTCGAACTCAATCAGAGAAGGGGCCAAAATCTAAAATCCAGCCTAAATCGCGGGCCGAATGGTTTACTGAACAGTCATAAACTGTCATTGTGATGGAAATGCAGCGGAGTGCAGTGATGACAGCGCGGTGCGGGCCACATTGCAAGGCCTGGCGGGACGGATTTGGCCCGTGGGCCTTGTGTTTGACACATGTGGGATAGAGCATCGGCCTGCAGACTGAAAGGTCCCAGGTTCAATTCTGGTCAAGGGCATGGACCTTGGTTGCGGGGGGTGTGTGTGTGTGTGTGCAAGAGGCAGCTGATCGATGATTCTCTCTCATCGATGTTTCTAACTCTCTCTCCCTCTCCCTTCCTCTCTGTAAAAAAAAATCAATAAAATATATGTATATATTTTTAAAATCCCTTCTACGGGCTTGTAGGACCACGCTGTGCCCGTGGCGGGTGAGGCCGTCCGAGGACAGAGACGGGATGACGACACACACGCTCCCCACCCGCCCAGCACGCCGACCCCCCCCCCCCCAGGGCCCCGGGCTGGCCTCGGGTTCTAGTCTGATGCTTCGTCTCCATCACCCACAATCTCGGCCCCGCCCTGCGCCCCCCACGCCCCTCCACCACGAACATCACGCTCATACGGGCTTCTCCTTTTCGATGTTTAATCCGTCTGTGTCCAGAGAGAAACGGGATCCGGCCACGCTGGCCGCTCTCCCGGATCCGTCAGCACAGCCATGTCACGGGTCCGAGTGTTGTTGGTATCTATCTAAAATCCGGAGTAGGAGAGGCGTCCTGGAGCTTTTCCTATCCATCGTCTTCGTGGCACCACCGCCAGGGGGCGCCGGCCGGGGAGGCCCTGGGTGTGGGAGGGCGGGGTGGGCAGCCGGAGGCCCAGGGGACAGAGGGCAGAGCCGTCTTTGGGCCGGGAGGCCTAGCCCGCGGACTTGGCAGGACAAAAATATAATAGAAGGGGGGGAAAAAAAAAAAGTAAATACATCCAACCTCATCTTTTATTGGGAGGAGGGATGTGTGTTTACAGAAACGATTTCTGGTCCGGGAAAATAAAGTATGGCTGAGTTTGGGGTGGGGGGCGAGGGCCCTCCTCAGGACAGTGGACCCGAGAGGGCTCGTGGCTCAGATCCAGGGCCCACGGAATCTTTCCAGAACGCCGCCACGGAGCCACGGAGCCACGGAGCCACGGGGCCACGTATCTGCAGAGTCACAGGATGTATGTGTCCCACCTGCCATGGACCCAGGCACTCTGCCGTGAGCACACACACCTCCCCGACTCCGCCCAAGGACAGCACGCAGGCCACGGGCTCTCCTTTTCCAAGAAGCTTCCAGAAAGCAGAGCCTGCCCGCGCCCTCCCTCGCTGCGTCTGCCACGTCCCGTGTCCGTCTTGCTGAGCAGAAACCGCCCGATCCAGGAAGGTGGTCCCAGAGCCGCCGGGGAACCTTGTTGATGGACACCTCCAGGGGGCGTGCTGCTGCTGCTGCTGCTCTGCCTGCAGCCGGACCAGGAGACCGGGACTTCCCACCCAGCCCCTGGGGGAACCCGGGGACAGTCGGAGGCAGAGGTGGGAGCGGATTCACGCAGGGTGACATGCTGTCGGCGGGCGCAGCTGGCACACGTGATGTATGTTCGTGGGACACGGAATCTGGTGGCCCGTGCATGGACCGTGTCCTGATGCCCAGCACGCGGCCCACAAGCGGGGGGGCCCTCGTCCCGTGGTCTCCCCGTGGTCCGTCAGACCCGCAGGCCCCCCCAGGTGGAAGGTCAGCCACCGCCTGTGTCCGTGTCCCACACCCACTGCCGAGTCCGTGACAAACAACGTGGTTGTCTCCGTGCAGACGGATCAGGACACGGCGCCACCCCCTCGCCCGGTCCTTCTGCGGCCTCCCTCCTCCGGGACCCGGTTCCGTTCCCAGCGGGGCGGCAGAAGCACGGATGGAGGGGGGACGGGATCGCCTTCCGGGCTACGGGTCCTCTGCCATGAGCGGGATCTCTGCGGGGGGAGACGGGCGTTACCGACGGCACCCCCAGCCCCGCACCGAGCCTGCAGGGCCAGCTGCAGCAGACCGTCTGCAGGTCCCCGCCCCGGGGAGGAGAAGGAAAGGCTCGGCTCCACGGATCCCTCAACGATCAAAAACCCGCCTCCTCCTGCCGAAACCGGTGTGGCTCAGTGGATAGAGCGCCGGCCTGCGAACTGAAAGGTCCCGGGTTCGATTCCGGTCAAGGGCATGTACCTTGGTTGCGGGCACGTCCCCAGTGGGGGGTGTGCAGGAGGCAGCTGGTCCATGTTTCTCTCTCATCGACGTTTCTAAGAAGCTCTCTATCCATCTCCATATATATATTTTTAAATTGTTTTGGTTGGGAAGAAGAAGAAGAAGGAGGAGAAGAAGGAGAAGGAGAAGGAGAAGGAGAAGGAGAAGGAGAAGGAGAAGGAGAAGGAGAAGAAGAAGAAGAAGAAGAAGAAGAAGGACGAGGAGGAGGAGGAGGAGGAGGAGGAGGAGGAGGAGGAACAAGAAGAAGAAGAAGAAGAAGAAGAAGAAGAAGAGAAGAAGAGAAGAGAAGAAGAAGAAGAGAAGAAGAAGAGAAGAGAAAGGAAGGAAGGAAGGAAGGAAGGAAGGAAGGAAGGAAGGAAGGAAGGAAGGAAGAAGAAAGGAAGATGCTCTGGAAACCGAAGACCAGCCCCTGGAGCCTTCTGCTCTGGACGGTGGCCTGGTGCCCGGTGTGCCTCCTGCCATGTCCATTGCTGGGCTCAGCACGTGAGGGTCCCGCCTCTGCTAACGGGTGCTGCCCGCGGCCTCTGCATGCAGGGAGGGTGGCCATCTCCGATGAGGGAGAGCCAGCAGCCCGCCCCGGCTCCGTGCTGCTCGGAAATGCTGGGAGCTGGGGCGGCGCTGAGTGCCGGCCCCGGGGGCAAGCGCTCACCGTCTGCGATGTCGATGCCCGGGCTGGAGGAGGCCACCTCCCCCGCCGTGGTGCCGGCTGCCGTGTCAGGGGTGTCGGAAGTGGGGCGGGCGCCCCCCTGGCCCGGGGGGGACGGGTACAGGCTCGGGAGCCGCTCAGAAGAGCCGGAGACGATGCCGCCGCCGTCGAGGGTGTCGGACGCCCCGGGGCCCGTGTCCGTGTCCGCGGGGCCTGGGTAGGCCGGGGGGCTCTGGTCGTCCACGGGCAGCGGGCAGCCCCGGCCCCCGGGGGCCAGGACCCCGGGGCCTAAGGCACTCAGGCCGCCGCGCACCGCCTCGTCATAGGATGGCAGCATCACGGGCACGCCGTCCACCACCACGAAGTCCGGGTCGCTGCTGGAGCTCCTGGGGGGGCCCCTGGGCGAGGCAAAGGGGTTCCGACACGTCAGGGGGACACGCCAGCCCCAGGGAGGAGGCCACGGCGCCCCCACCCCACCCCCTGCAGACGGGGTCCTCCCGGCCCTGATGGGAGCAGAGGTTTCTTTTATTCTTTTTTTTTTTTTTTTTTTTAATATATTTTATTGAGTTTTCACAGAGAGGAAGGGAGAGGGAGAGAGAGAAACATCGATGGGAGAGGAACATCCATCCGCTGCCTCCTGCACCGCAGGGACCATGCTCCGCTCTGCCCGGTCCTCCCCAGGCCCTCCCCTCTGCACGCCCCGCCCGCCCCGCCCGCCCTCCTCTCCCGCTGCCCCCCGAGGCGGCCGCACTGACCTGGCGGGGAAGCGGGCCTTGAACTTGGTCTGGAACATCCTGGCCAGGATGACGAGCAGCAGCACCAGCAGCACACTGGTGGCCGTGAACGCCACGATCTTCCACGTGGTCAGGAGGGTCTCATGGGCGCCCGGCCACGTTTGCTCTGCGGGGGCCGGGGGGGGGGGAGAGGGAGGGAGAGAGAGAGAGAGAGAGAGAGAGAGAGAGAGAGAGAGGGAGAGAGAGAGGGCCACATATCAATGGGACAACCATTAAAATTTCCTTGGAGAGCCACATTTTTATTTATTTTATTTTTCCCTCTCATCAATCCATTTTTATACTGATTACATGTTGAAATTATACTATCTGGCAAATGTTGGAGTAAATAAACTACTTCATTAAACTTGATTTCCCCTCTTTTTGTTTTAATTGTGGCTACTAGAAATTTAAAGTTACAGACGACGTGGTTCACATCCAGTTCCTCGTGGCGTAGAGGCAGCCTGTCCCACGGCTAGGCAAGCGTGACTGCGTGGGAGAGCCACATTTTTAAAGCTTAAACGTCTTCTGATGCCACTTCTCCAACATAAACTCTCCCCAGGCCACACGTGGTGCTTTGTGGAAGAGCCACCCTCCGGGGGCCCACGATTTGCCTATGGCTCGAGAGCCGCGGCTTGCCGACTCCTGGGCTAGGATGTACTTATAGGTTTGCATGAGGCAGATGACTTTCTAAGTGCAGGCCCGTCTGACCCCCAAGGTCATTGCCGCGGCCCGGGGCTCACCGGAGCGGACGCAGAAGACCTGGTAGGCGGGGAACCAGGCGCCGTACTGGCAGGTGATGTACTTGTAGTCGCTGGTGAGGCTGTAGCCGGGGTCGCAATAGAACTCCACCACGGTCCCATGGGGGTAGCGATCGCAAGGCCGCGGGTGGCAGACGAAGTCGCCGTGGCTCACCACGGGGGGCAGCGGGCAGACTTGGGCGGGGGGGGGGGGATAAGGGCGTGAGTACCGGGCACCCCCGGGCACAGCGTCCGCAGCCCCCGTCCCTTCCGAGCGCCCGTCGCCATCCCGGGGTCGGATAACGCACACGGTCAGAGGGAGGTCGGACGCGCACTACGGACGGATGCATATGCCTTCCGGCCGAAACCGGTGTGGCTCAGTGGACAGAGCGTCGGCCTGCGGACTGAAGGGTCCTGGGTTCGATTCCTGGTCAGGGGCGTGTGCCTTGGTTGCGGGCACACCCCCAGTGGGGGGGGGGGTGCAGGAGGCAGCTGGTGGATGATTCGGGCAGCTCCTCTCCTCTCCCCCCTCCCTCATGGCCAACAGGGCACCGTGGCTCAGCCCACCCCACGCCAAGCTTTCCCCAGAGGCCTCCCCGCCGAGGCACACCCCTCCTCTGACGGCTCCTGCCGCCACCGCCTCCTCTGGTTTTGTTCCCTAAGAAAAGGCCGCAGAGCGGCTCTGCAGGGCCTGGCGGGGGGCGTCCTCCCATTTGCCTCTTGCCCCATGCAGACCCCCACGCCCGCCCCCCCCTCCAATCCGCCTGCTGTGTTCAACAGGCGCCAAGAAACAAACGGATGTTTGTTCTCTCCGATCATAATTCCAAAACCGGGATGAGAGCGAGGGCTGAGTCAGCCGGCCCGTGTGCCTGGCGGAAATAGTTAGGCAATCGGCCTGCCTGAACCCCCTTCCCCCCCCCCCCCCCAACCCCCCGACGACCTCACACCGCCGGTCCATGACCATCAGGCTGCAGAGTCACATCGACGGAGCAAGCAGGGGAGGAGCGGGGAGTGAAAGCACCTCCCGCAGAGCCACCACCAAAGGCGGGGGACGGGAGGGCACCCCACGCCTTCCTAAAACCAGGGGTGAGATCCGGGGCGCCCCCAGACACTCCGTCCCGTTGAGCTTCGCAGCACTCTGCAGTGGAACGGTGGATGCTGGGAACTTTTTGTTTGTTTGTTTTTTAATATGTTTTATTGATTTTTTTTTTTTTTTACAGAGAGGAAGGGAGAGAGAGAGAGAGAGAGCTAGAAACGTCGATGAGAGAGAAACATCGACCAGCTGCCTCTTGCACACCCCCTACACCGGAGATGTGCCCGCAACCAAGGTACATGCCCTTGACCGGAATCGAACCCGGGACCTTTCGGTCCGCAGACCGACGACGCTCTATCCACTGACCCACACCGGTTTCGGCGATGCTGGGAACTTTCCTCTCTTGGCCCTTAAGCTTAAGGATGGAGGGGGGGAGGGGAGGGGGGTTGTGTCTGGGGGGTAAGTACGGCTCCTCCGTGGCAGACGAGCAGGCAGGCCTGCTGCCTCGGCTAAGGACGGAGGCCTGCGGGGCAGCCTTTGGTGAACAGAGAGGGGGCCGGCCATCCTTCTCAGCCCTGCACCTCCCTTCTGCCTCCCACGGAGACACCCCCACCCACCTCCCAAAAGGGGTAAGAGGGGTTACCTTCCAGAGCAAGGCACCGGGGTGGGCTGGACGACCAGATGAGGTTGTGCAAGCACTCGAGATAGGCCGAGCCCTCGAGCTTGAAGCCGGGGAAGCAGCGGTAGGCGATGACCGTGCCCACGGGGAAGGCGGTCTGGAACTCGGAGATGTTCACGTAGCCGTTGGAAGAGGCCAGCGGCCTCAGGCAGCCTGGGGGGAGGCAGAGCGAGAGGGTGGGGGGCGTCTTAGCCGGGCGTCTGTGTACCCCCGAGATCAACCCGGCTCTGAGCCATGAACACCTCGGTCCTAACAGCTCCGATTCCTGCCCAGTTGGCCTGGCTCAGTGGTTGGGTGTCGACCCAGGCACCAGGAGGTCACTCACGGCTCGATTCAGGTCAAGGGCACAGGCCCGGGGGGCGGGCTCCATCCCCAGGGCGGGGCGTGCAGGAGGCAGCCGGTCCATGATTCTTTCTCCTCGGTGATGTTTCCATCTCTCTCTCTCTCCCTCTCCCTTCCTCTCTGAAACCAATAAAATACATTTTTATTTTTTTTTACAAAGTTCAGACTTCTTAGCGACCTGCCTATGCTATGTGTGATGCGGAAATTTGATTTTACGGGTTGCACATGGCGCTAGGCACATGTGTCAAACACAAGGCCCGCGGGCCAAATCCGTCCCGCCAGGCCTTGCAATGTGGCCCGCACCACGCTGTCATCACTGCACTCCGCTGCGTTTCCATCACAATGACAGTTTATGACTGTTCAGTAAACCATTCGGCCCACGATTTAGGCTGGATTTTAGATTTTGGCCCCTCCTCTGATTGAGTTCGACACCCCTACGCTAGAGGGATGGAGGAGTGGGGAGGAGGGAGAAGGGGGGAGCAGTGAGAGCCAGAAGCCCCGAGCAGGTGGCTCCAGCCGCGACTGCACCCAAGAATCACCTGAGAAGCTTACTAAACACCCGGGGTGGGTGTGCAGCCTGGGCACCCCGATCTCTCTCTCCCTCTCCCTCCCTCCCTCTCTCTCTCTCTCTCTCTCTCTTTTAATATATAATTTTATTGACTTCAGAGAGGAAGGGAGGAGGAGAGAGAATCATGGATCAGCTGCCTCCTGCAGGCCCCCTCCTGGGGACCGAGTCTGCAACCCCCGAATGTGCCCTTGACGGGAATCGAACCCGGGACCCTTCAGGCCACAGGCCGGCGCTCTAACCACTGAGCCACAGCAGCGAGGGCTCCACCTATTTGAAAGCCCCCCCCCCCCCCGAGTAATCCTCACGTGAGACCCGCACCCTCCACGCTCCTCCTTCTGTAAAACGCCGGCCGCCTTTTCTGCCTCGAACCCCGTTCGGGGCCCCGGGGACTTCCCCGGCCCGGAATCCTCTCTGCGTGGCGTCGCTGTGGCCGTGGGGCGTCTGGCGGGGATAACGGCCCCGCACGGCGGCCTGCCTTCCCGGGGAGAGCTAACTGTGCGTGAAGTAAACACTGTGCGATGGAAACACCCGCTCCTCCCCATCACCGGGGACAGATGCCGCCCGCCGCCGGAGCCCTCCTCCGAAGGGACTGTGGATCGCTCACACGGAGCATCCAGAGCTGGCTGGATGCCCGGCGCCTGGGGTCTGGGTATCGGGGCAGAACGGAAGGCGGAACTCCCTCCGGGGTGACCCTGCTCTGCCCCAGGATGGCACCGCATGGCTCCATGGTTGGCAAACTGCAGCATCCAACATGCTAACGAACGACCTGGTTCCCATTTAATCTTTAAAACTGGTGCTCGGCCTGGCCAGTGTGGCCCAGTAGTTGAGCGTCAACCTCGAAACCAGGAGGTCACGGTTCCATTCCAGGTCAAGGGCACGTGCCTGCCTTGCAGGCTCAGTCCCTAGTAACGGGCATGCAAGAGGCAGCTGATCCATGATTCTCTCTCATCATGGATGTTTCTCTCTCTCTCTTCTTTGAAATCAATAAAAATTTTTTTTTTTTTAAACCGCAATAACAGCCAAAACTGGTGTTGCTCAGTGGATAGAGCATCGGCCTGCGGACTGAAGGGTCCCAGGTTCGATTCCGGTCAAGGGCATGTTCCCAGTAGAGGGTGTGCAGGAGGCAGCTGATAGATGTCTCTCTCTCTCATTGATGTTTCTAACTCTCTATCCCTCTCTCTTCCTCTCTGAAAAAAAATCAATAAAAATATATTTAAAAAAACCACAATAACAAACAAACAAACAAAACCTGGTGCATGGAGCTGGAGAGAACCCCAGGGAAGGATGGGGGGCAGCGTGCGGACGGAGGGGAAGAGGCGGCGAGGGTGGGTCTGCCTTCCTGTCCGTCGGAGACGCGGGCACACACCCCACACCGCCGCCCCCGAGGAGAAAAGCTCCCGTCCCGCACCTTGGCAGATGGGCAGGTTGTCCCACGTCCCGTCATCGCGACACAAGGAGGCCAGGTTGTACAGGTCAGGGTACCGAAGCTTGAAGCCGTCGTGGCAGGTGACGTTCAGCTTGTCCCCGTGCCTGTAGGTCCTGTTGTGGATCTCGGCGTCTTCGACGAAAGGGGTACGGCAATCTGCGGGCGTGGGAAAGGGGCCCCTTATTGCTGGAACGTAGAACAGGCATGGTGGCTCTGGCTGGTGTGGCTCGGTGGGCAGAGCGTTGGACTGCGGACTGAAGCGTCAAAGGTTCGATTCCCAGTCAAGGGCACCTGCTTGGGTTGCAGGCTCAGTTCCCAGTAGGGAGCGTGCAGGAGGCAGCAGATCAAGGATACTCTCTCTCTCTCTTTTTTTTTTTTTTTTTTTTTTAATATATTTTATTTATTTTTTTTACAGAGAGGAAGAGAGAGGGATAGAGAGTTAGAAACATCGATGATAGAGAATCATTGATGCTGGCTGAGAAGCAGTTCCATCCCTGCCAGGTCACTCATCAGCTGTGTGACCTTGATGAAGTAGGCGGACCTCTCTGAGCCTGTGTTTCCTAATGAGAACAATCCATCTCCTCGTTGGGGGGGGGGGGGGGAGATGGCGCCTGCTAGCTGAGATAGTGAGCATGAAATCGCACACCGTGGTAACCTACAGAAACGAGCTAATGCATTACCCTGATGGCTGTTACCACCTCGCCAGGATTCATTAGCCTTCGGAGACGGCCCCGACAAGGCATACAAATGGACGCAGCAGCCCTTACTATTTCCAGCATTCACTCCGAGCGGGGAGGAAAAGCTTTGTATAAATCAAGGGGGAGGGGGTGGGGATTTTCAGCTTCCTCGCTGCACCAGGACACCAGGGCATAGAGCTGTGGGTGTCCCCTGCCCCCTATAAGCTTCATGGAATGGAGAATGGTCGTTAGGACGGTGGCAAGGATGATTTTCTCCACCCTCGGGGCAGCAACGGCAACATCTCTTGACACAGATCTCTCCAAGGCCAACAACATTGCCGTTAATATTAAACATCCATAGGCCTTCAGACGTAGAAAGGCAATGACTGATCTCCCAAGCTTTCTTTCTTTTTTTTTTTAATATATATTTTTATTGATTTTTTTTTTTTTTTTTTTACAGAGAGCAAGGGAGAGAGCTAGAGAGCTAGAAACATCGATGAGAGAGAGACATCGATCAGCTGCCTCTTGCACACCTCCTACTGGGGATGTGCCCGCAACCAAGGTCCATGCCCTTGACTGGAATCGAACCTGGGACCCTTCAGTCCCCAAGCTGATGCTCTATCCACTGAGCCAAACCGGTTTCGGCTCTACTGTGCTTTTTATGGAGTAACATGGGAATGAGCGGGGAGATGGCAGCCCAGGAATCAACAGCCCTAACGTGCTCCGAGCTTGTCTCCCGCATGGACAACAACGGTGATGAATCGGGTGGAAATTGAGATGGAGAAGGGAGGTGATCAGAATTGATGTGCCCCAGCCCTGGTCACGTCCCCGTGCAGGCCGAGCTCTGAAACGAGGACAGCATCCCCCGGCACGGACCCCCCCCTCTGGCACACACAGCCTTGGGCCCCTGCGGCCATGGCAACGGATGCTGGCCACCACGCAGACAGACACCACAGAGGTGTCCGTGGGCAGGGGAGGGGGCGGGTGGGGGCACGTCACCTTCTTGCACGCAGACGGATCTGTCGCTCGGGACCCAGCCGAGGGTCCCGTTGAGGTGCTTCACGCACAGCCTCTTGGTGGAGCCCCTCAGCTTGAAGCCGTCCTGGCAGTGGTAGCGGGAGACGGAGCCTTCGGGGAACACCCCACCGCGGGGGGTCCGGAAGCCGTGCTCGGGGACCCCGGGGTCGGCGCACGCCTGCAGGCCATCGAACCCTGCGAGGGCAGAGAGGAGAAAGGGTGTCCGGACGCATCCCGGCCCCGAGGGCCCCCCCAGGGTGAGGGGCAGCTGCTGTGTTCTCCCCGACACCCTGGCCCACCCAACCGCACCCACCGCAGAGCCAGGACTGCACACCCCCCTCGGCTCTCCGCTCCTCGCTAGCCTCTCAGTGCTAAGACCGGGGTCGCTTTTCTTTCTTTCCTTTTGTAATGTTTTATTTTATTTTATTAAATATATTTTATTGATTTTTTTTTTTACAGAGAGGAAGGGAGAGAGAGAGAGAGCTAGAAACGCCGATGAGAGAGAAACATCGACCAGCCGCCTCTTGCACACCCCCCACCGGGGATGTGCCCGCAACCAAGGTACATGCCCCTGACCGGAATCGAACCTGGGACCCTTCAGTCCGCAGGCCGACGCTCTACCACTGAGCCACACCGGTTTCGGCTAATGCTTTATTTTTATTTTTTTTTTTCTAATAAATCTTTGTTGTTCAGATTATTACAATTGTTTCTCCTTCTCTCCCCCCCCGCCCCCCATAGCTCCCCTCCACCTGGTCCCCACTCCACCCTCTGTCCTTACCTCCCCCTGCCCCCACACTGTCCTCATCCATAGGTGTATGATTTTTGTCCAGTCTCTTCCCGTACCCCCCACTCAGGCACCCCTTCCCCCATGAGAATTATCGGGGATGCTTTTCAAGGAGGGAGACGAGGACACGTAGCCGTAGAAGGACGAAATGCTGACGGTGGAGCCAGGAGACCTTGGCCTTGAAGGGCGGGTGAGAGCCAGCGGTGAGGAGGGAGGCCTGGCCGGCGTGCTAACGGGAACAGCACAGACCCTCCCTCACCACCCTGGGCCACAAAGCTGTCCTCGCTCGGCGAAGAACAGACAAGACGAGGGGCAGACGGAGATCCGGCCCCCGGATCTATCAGGAAAAGGACCCCTGCCCTCCCTCATAAATGAATACATGAGGAAGACCAGGAAGCGAGGACAGCAGAGCCGCCTCGCGAACCCAGTTCGTCCTCTTCCTTCACACTCCCTTCCCCTTTAAAAGGGCCTCCCCGCCCAGCCTCTGCTCTCCGGTAACCATAGTTACCCCTCCGACTCTGCGTCCATGCCCGGGCCTGGGCTGGCCGTGGGGTCTGGCCGTTGGCGAGGACCAGAATGAGAACAAGCGGCGGAAGGAAAGCAAAGGGAAGGTGGGGCGGCGTAGGAAGAAAAATATTCTTCATTTCGGACAACCTATCCCAGCGAGCAAGATGGTCACTTCCCAGGGCTGGGAGAGCTGCGAATCTACTTTCCAAACTGCCCCCCAGCGGACCGGGTCCCAGCCAGGGCCGTTTATTCCCCCCGTGCAGCTGTTCTTTGGTGTCTTTCCAGAATGCTGATGAGCTGTCCCATCAGAGAGCTTGTCCACTATAGAGGTGGGCTGGCCTCGGGTGGGGAAGAGGAGTGGAAAGCAATGTGCATCCTACCTATCGAACGATCTTTAAAATATGTATATATATTTCTTTATTGATTTCGGAGAGGAAGGGAGGAGAGAGAGAAACATCAAGGATGAGAGAGAATCCCTGATCAGCTGCCTCCCGCACGCCCCCCTCCTGGGGATCGATGCCCGCATCCATGCGCCCTTGGCTGGAATCGAACCTGGGACCCTTCGGTCCGCAGGCTGACGCTCTACCCACTGAGCCACGCTGGCTAGGGCCATCGAACAATCTTATCCTGGGATCCTGCAGTCTTGAAACCCCCCGACCCATCTCCCTCCCATTCTTTTAAGAAAATATATATATTTTATTGATTTTTACAGAGAGAAAGGGAGAGGGATAGAGAGCTAGGAACATCAATGAGATGAGAGAGAAACATCGATCAGCTGCCTCTTGCACCCCCCCCCCACTGGGGATGTGCCCGCAACCAAGGTCCATGCCCTTGACCGGAATGGAACCTGGGACCCTTCACTCCGCAGGCCTACGCTCTATCCACTGATTCACACTGGTTTCTCCCTTCTTATCGCCAAAAGAACAGCCTAGGACTTTCTGCTCCGGGAGTCGGCTGCCAGCTAATTTCCCCGCAGCTCGATCCGTCCTTTCTCATTTCATCTCCCTGCTATGATTCCGGCAAGAAGCTACAAGCGGAGTCTCCCCCAGCCTGGTCCTTTCCATTAGCAGGCTGAAGGGTGAGGGGCGGAAGGGAGGGGAATCACAGCTCCATTGGCGCCTAATGGTGCGGTGCCCGAATGGGGATCTTAAGGTATTTCCTACCAGCCCCTCAGGAAAAGCCATATGCCACCGGTTACTCCGACGGGCCCTGGGCACACCTGGAGCCGCCTGCCAACCAGGCTGTCACCATTTTCAAGCTGGAGAGGAAGAACAGGGAGCAGCTGCCATCGAAGTGTTTACGTACGGCGCCTGCCGTCTGTCTCATCAGCTGGCACATGGGACAGGCCGGGGGCGAGGCAGCTCGGGGCCGGCTCTCCTGTTAGCGTCCCTGCTCTCCTGTCTCCCCCAGATCCGTGGTTCTCACCCTCTCTAAGGCCGAGACCCTATCACACAGCTCCTCGTATGGAGGTGGCCCCCACCCCCCCAACCATAACATTATTTTCGTGGCCACTTCGTAACTGTCACGTGGCTACTGTTACTGAATCGTAGTGTCCATAGATAATCTGTGTGTTTTCCGATGGTCTTAGGCCCTCCAGCAGCAGTCAACCCACAGGTTAAGAACCGCTAGCAGCCGAAACCGGTGTGGCTCAGTGGACAGCGCGTCGGCCTGTGGAATGAAGGGTCCCGGGTTCGATTCCGGTCAAGGGCATGTTCCTTGGTTGCGGGCCGATGCTCTATCCACTGAGCCAAACCGGTTTCGGCCTGAGTGCCTAGACTAGGGTTGTCAAACTCAATCAGAGAAGGGGCCAAAATCTAAAATCCAGCCTAAATCGCGGGCCGAATGGTTTACTGAACAGTCATAAACTGTCATTGTGATGGAAACGCAGCGGAGTGCAGTGATGACAGCGCGGTGCGGGCCACATTGCAAGGCCTGGCGGGACGGATTTGGCCCGCGGGCCTTGTGTTTGACACATGTGGCCTAGACTTAGCTTGAGGTGGGAGGGACAGACATGAGGATCTGGGTAATGAATTCCTGAAAACCGGAGGGGGGTCGGGGGTGGAGAGCGGGGGAGGAAACGGGAGCCGTTGCCACACCGCGTGCGAATGGCAGACGCTCTGCCGAAACCTTAAGCCCTGGGAGCGAGCCGCCTGCCCAGAAGACACAATGAGGCCACCGGGGCCCCAGAGCCCGAGCCACGAGCGAGCGCCCGTGAGCCGGGGCCTAGCTGTGGGTCACACCTCCGGCTCCCCGCCGGGTCAGCTGGGCGCTGGCAGCCGCCTGATCGGCTTACAGAGTCATCACGGTCGCTTCTGTGCGCGGGAAGCCGGGGCACGGTTTTCGGCACTCACAGTTGGAGGACACAGGCGGCTCATACCTCCTCGGGGAAGGTGCCAGGGGCCCAGAGAGCCCGCCACGGAGGCGGAGATGGGGGTGGCCAGCTGGGCAGGGCTTCTCGCCCAGACAGGGCGCGACCTGTCCCAGCCTCAGTCCCTGGACTCGGGGGACAACGGCCTGGACCATTCCCCATCCCTTCAGAGAGGCGGGTGGAAATAGTGCGTGTATCCAGGGCAGACCTGCCTGCCCAGGCCCCTGGGAACAGGCGGGATCTGATGTCTGGAGGGAAATACAGTGCGGAGAAAAGACATGGCTGATGGCGAATGCACGGATATTTACACGTACCGTGTTTCCCCGAAAATAAGACATCCTCCGAAAATAAGACCTACTTACAGGTTTCCTTCTGAGCGAAATATAAGGCATCCCCCCCCCCCCGAAAATAAGGCTCCCTTAGGCTCTGTCTCAGAATGCTATTGCTAAACAAGAGAGATTTGGTCCACTGATTCAAGAAACGGAGTCACAAGAAATTCACAGGGCCTCACCCACTCAGCGCCGTCTGTGGTCCAGCCCTAGGGGGCGTCATTCATGCATCTGCTGCTATCTGAGCATATAATAACGGGGGGACTACATTGAGCATACAATGGGGGGACTACAACAGGACATTCAGGAATTGGATTGTTAGGATGATGTTCCGGAAGATGATGACATGATTGTCACTGAATAAATGAGTCAATTCTTGACACTGTAGGATTCACAGTTTGTCTGGTTTGTGTTGACAACGACCGTACTACCGTACCGTATACAGGTAATACATTTCCTCATTTAACAATAAATGTGTACCGTATTCTTCTTCATGGAAAAATAAGACATCCCCTGAAAATAAGACCCAGCGCATCTTTGGGAACAAAAATTAATATAAGACACGGTCTTATTTTCGGGGGAACAGGGTACACACATCTTTCATCGAACGTGGGGAAAACGAGTTAACTGCAGCACCCTGGCTGGTGTGGCTCAGTAGGTTGGGCACCGCCCCAGGCACCAAAAGGTTGTTGGTTGGGGACACACGCCTGGGGTTTGGGGCTCGATCCCGGCACTGACAGGGACTCAGGCTTCCGAAGCTGCAGGAGCCACAGACTCGGGGCGTCTGACCCCAGGAGGCCTGACGGCGGAGGCCTCGACGCGGGGTGCGGAGCTGGGAGAGCACACAGAGCTGCGACCAGAAACCAGTCACCTCCAGGTTAGAGAGAGACAGGAGAGCACCCGGCGGGGCAGAGAAAGCCTGGAGGGCAGACATGCCGCCTTCACCGGCGGGAAGGGGCGGTCACCGCTTAGTCCTTCAAAGCCCAGCGCATGCACAGGGGCCTCTGTCCAAAGGCCACAGCACAGCCGCGCTGACCGCTGGGGAGCTGGGTCCCAGAAGTCCCACCCAAGATGTGAAATGTGCAAGGGGCTCAGGGGAAGAGAGAGGAGAGGAGAGGAGAGGAGAGGAGAGGAGAGGAGAGGAGAGGAGAGGAGAGGAGAGGAGAGGAGAGAGAGAGATAGAGAGAGAGAGGGAGGGCGGGAGGGA